GGCCATCGTTAGCAAGAAATATATTATTACCGCGGCGCACTGCTTGGCAGGGTATGCATATCCTCTTTTCTTTTCCACAGTCCAAAACATTTAACTGTCTTATTCTTATTCATTATTGCATTTTGTACATTTGTAATTTTGTAAAAGAAGAAAGATATTATTATATACCGTCTAAATGCAATTAAGTTTAATATGGAACGAAATTATAAAAATATGAGAAATTTGGAAAAACACGCAACGAATTTTTATATCTAGAGATATATGATTTATATTAATTATATAATCAAGATTACCTCTCCACTCAGACATTCAGACAAGTATAATAACGTTAAATAAATATTGAAACAAAAAAATCATCTTTTAGACTCATAAATTAAATCAAAGCGAAGTAATCATAAACTTTACTGATTGTTACAGTCGGCGATATCCATCCGACATTCAAATCGGCGTTGGAAGCAATCATCTTCAGTCTCAAATTATATATACCGCAGATGCTCTAATAATACACGATAATTATAAAAAGGAACAACCTTTTAATGACATTGGTTTAATTAAACTATCGAAAGACATCACATTTAATAAAACCATCACATCGACAGCTCTAATATCTGACAACAAGAATTTGGAAGGTGTTAGATTGCAAGTTTCTGGTTGGGGAAGACTTTGGGTAAATATAAGAAATATATCTAATATCTCATTTAAAATTATCTATCAAAATTATCTAACCAAAATTTATACACAAGGGCGAGTTTTGACAAATATTATTTTACAGCTCTCGAGAAATTTCAAGAACGATATATTATATTCTTTATCATTTCTATATCAAAACTAAAGGTATCAGGCATTAGTTTAAAACACTTTATTTTCAGGCGGGCGGTTCGGCTCCAGTACGCCTGCAACATGTCACAGTAACAGGATATTCTCAAAAGAATTGCGCATCGATATACGCACCCAATATCACCGATGGTCATATATGCACCCTTGAATCGATGGGTAAAGGAGTTTGTCATGTAAGTATATAATTGTAAAATAAATCGTGCACGCGTTTATCTTATAACAACCTTTATCCCGCTAAAAATTATAAAAAAGTTTAGTAAAAAAAAAAGAGTAATGCGTCGTTGCTTTATCTATGTTGATGTCAGATTGATAAGGAATGACGAATGACATTTCTATCGTTCAGATAATTTGTTAGAACTAGTTCTGATAAAAAAGCGGTTAATGCAAAAACAACTTTAAAGTGACGATTATTAACGTCACGCGCTGATATCTAGAGAATCAATATTTTGATGAAAAATTCTGGCGAATATTACTACATTAAATACGCTATCTCCGCAGGGTGATTCCGGTGGTGCGCTCACTTACGAAGACAAACTAGTTGGCATCGTGTCTTTTGGTGTTCCATGCGCCGAGGGCTATCCAGATGTGTTCACTAGGGTGTACTACTACAGAGACTGGGTCAACAAAAATATTAATGCAGGCTGCAACCAACAATTAAACATCCTTCTCGGACTTTTTACAACGTATCTGTGCATACATTCATTCTTGTAGATACGTATATTTTATTGCGCGCGCCTGTGATCGGTTAATTTTAATTATTGATGAATATTGCATAAGGATGTAAATGAAGATCTTAAAAAAAATTGTATCGTTACGGATAATGTTTTATAAGTTATAAAATTTCTCTTCTATTACATGTAACATATGTATATCTATATATAAAATATATTATCCAAGTATATTTCGATATGTACGAGATTGAAATTAATTTATTGAACGTATAATTTTTCCTAAGATTCTTTGAAAAGCATA